AGGAGTTGGGCGAGCACATTAAGACACAGTTGGTGGCTCTGTTGAGGGAGTATGTGGATATTTTTGCTTTCACTTCAGAGGATTTGGTGGGCATTGATCCTGAGGTGGCTGAGCATAAATTAAATATCGATCTCAGAATGAGGCCTGTTAAGCAAAAGCGGCGACATTTTGGGGTGGAGCTAGATGCCGTTATCGAGAAAGAGGTGGAGAAGTTGCTCCGAGCAGGTCACATTAAACCCATTCAATTTCCGGAATGGGTCTCAAATCAAGTAGTGGTGAAAAAGGCGGAAAATAAGTGGCGTATGTGCACAGAGTTCTGTGACCTTAATAATGCATGCCCCAAAGATCATTATCCGTTACCGCGCATAGATCAATTGGTCGACTCAACGTCGGGTTGCGAATTGTTGAGCATGATGGACGCTTCGCAGGGGTATCACCAAATACCATTGGTTGTAGAGGATCAAAAGCGGGTGAGCTTTGTCACGTCTAAGGGGACTTATTGTTATGTTGTAATGCCTTTCGGCTTGCGCAATGCTGGGGCGACCTATCAAAGGCTGGTAGATAAGATGTTTGTGGGACAGTTGGGGAGAAATATGGAGGTATACGTGGACGATATGCTAGTGAATAGTCGACAAGAAGAAGATCATGTGAGAGACCTGAAGGAGACGTTCGAAACGTTGAGGAGGTATAGAATGAAGCTTAATCCGACAAAATGTAAGTTTGGAGTGAAAGCGGGGAAGTTCCTTGGGTACATGGTAACTGAGCGCGGCATCGAGGTCAATCCAGAGAAAGTATGAGCGGTGTTTGTTATGCAACCGCCTAGGACCATAAAAGAGGTGCAAATTCTTATCGGGCGTTTGGCGGGACTCAGTCGGTTTATAGCACACGCAGCAGAGCGCAGTTTTCTATTTTTTCGAGCCCTTCGTAAAGGAGCTCGATTTCAATGGTCGACACAGGCACAAGAGGCCTTTAGCAAGCTGAAGGAATTTTTGGCTGAATTACCTCTGCTCACCAAGCCAAACCCGATGGACGTGTTGATCTTGTATCTTTCTGTTGGCAATGTGGTTATAAGCTCGGTTCTCCTGAAGGAAGAAGGAGGTGGGCAACAACCCATTTACTACGTGAGTAAGCTGTTGTAGGGAGTAGAGATGAGGTATGCGGAGGTGGAGAAGGCGCCCCTAGCTCTCCTTGTAACAGCTAGGAGGTTGCGAAATTACTTCCTGTCACATGTGGTCATGGTGCAGACTAATTTTCCCTTGAGGGAGACGTTGGGTAAGCCGTCAGCTTCAGGAAGACTGGTGAAGTGGGCAGTCGAACTGGGGGAGTATAATGTTAGCTTTGAACCAAGAAAAGCTATTAAGGCACAGGCACTGGTAGACTTTATTCAGGAGGGTACGATGGGCGAGGAACCGGGTGTCGAAGGAGAGCCTCTTGAGTTCGCGGTGAAGCTCACCTTCAGAGCTTCAAACAATGAAGTAAAATATGAGGCATTACTAAAGGGGATGCAATTGGTGGCGGGTGCAGGAGCCAGAAAGGTTGTTATCCACTCTGATTCTCAGCTAGTGGTAGAACAAACGAAGGGAGAGTACGAGGCTAAGGAGGAAAGGATGGCCAAGTACACTGAGGAGGCTCAAGCGTAAGCTAAAAGTTTCGAAATGTGGGAGCTAGTGCAGATACCAAGGGTTGAAAAATGGGAGGGCTGGTTTGTTGTCAAAGGTAGCAGCCTCCTTGGTGGATTGCATGTCACGATCAGTGACCCTGTTGCAGATGGGGTCCAACATTTTAGAGGGTGTTATGGAGTTAGAGGAGAAGGAAGACTGGAGGAGTACTATATTAAATTGGTTGGCACAAGCGAAGTTGGGACAGAAAGATGTTCGGGGCGATAAGTTAGGCAGACGAGCTCTAAGGTTCTTTGTCCAAGAAGGAGTGCTTTTCAAGAGATCATATTACGGGCCTCACCTACGGTGTGTTTCCGAGGAGAAAGGCGATTATGTGCTCAAGGAGGTCCATGAAGGTTGCTGTGGAGACCATATTAAGGCGCGAGCCTTGGTGGGGAAAGTGTTGAGAGCAGGATAATTTTGGCCAACGATGAGGGCCATGGCAAAGGAATTAGTTCATAAATGTATCAATTGCCAACAGCATGGACAACTTATTTATGTGCCGGCTGAGGAGCTAATGCCGATGAGTTCACCTTTTCCGGTTCGCTCAATGAGGAATGGATATAGTAGGGCCTTTCCCGCAAGGCTCGGGGCAAAGAAAATTCCTACTGGTTTTGGTGGATTATTTCAGCAAATGGGTGGAGGCCGAAGCAATGGCCAAGATAACTGAAGAGAAGGTCATAAAGTTTTTATTCACTAACGTTTGTTGTACGTATGGCATCCCTCGGGTTCTGGTTTATGATAATGGCCCACAATTTTGGGGAAAAAAGATAATGGCTTGGTGTGAAGAGATGGGCATTAAGCAACACTTTGCCTCTGTTGCACATCCTCAAGCAAATGGGCAAGCAGAGGTGGCCAACAGGACCATATTGAAGGGATTACAGACCCAGCTTGGCAAAGCTTCAGGCGCATGGGTCAATGAGCTCGACACAGTGCTTTAGTCGTACCGAACCACGCCAAGATCAACCACAGGAGAGACACCTTTCAGTCTTGTGTACGGAATGGAAGCTGTGATCCCAGTGGAAATTGGCCTTAGATATCAGAGGACGCCCACTTTTGAACCAGGACAAAATAAGGAGCTGGTCAAAGAGGCACTTAAGTTGATTGATGAGGCACGAGATCAAGGGTGGTTGAGAACTATGCAGTACAAACAAAAGATGTGCCTGGCCCATGCCAAGAAGGTAAAGAAGAGGCAGTTTCAGGTTGGTGATCTTGTTTAGAGAAGAGCTTATGTGCTGAAGCATGTTGGTAAGCTGGAGCCCAAGTGGGAGGGGCCATATATTGTTCATAGAGTGTTTGCAGGAGGAGCCTATGAGCTGAAGGATCCAGCAGGTAAGGTCTTTCCTAGACCTTGGAATGTGGCTCATCTCAAGAAATATTATTGTTAAGGGGATCGCAAGCTTATGTTGCTTTATGAAATATTTCTCATTTCTATGATTGACTCAATAAGGTTTGGAGCTGTTTTATCCAGCTTGATGGACAATGATTTTTGTTTGTGAACGAACTATCTTTTAATTGATTGCATGTGCTTAAGTATGGATCACGAGTATATGTTTTATGAAGCCTTTGTGAGGGCATATGCATTCTTACAAAAGTGGACATGGCTTGGAGAAGATGCTCAACGAGTATGATGGCTTAAGATCGAGCCTTTGGGAGCTCGGGTGCCGTTCAAAAGGGTGTGATAGCATAAGTCTGGCTCGTGAGAGCTCGGATGCTATTTAAAAGGAGTGACGACTTTAGGCCAAGCGATTATGAGCTCGGGTGCTGTCTCCGAAGTGCAACAGTTTAAGGCCGAACCCTTGTGAGTTCGGGTGCCATTCACAAGGCGTGACTCTTTGGGTTAGGCTCTGACGAGTCAATGAATTCGAGCACGTTATTGTTCGAGTGATGGTCACAGACCGAGTACATGGAAGATTCAGTTGGATAGTTGGCTATTCAAGTGTTTGCTCGGTTTTTTGTTGACATACCGAGCACATGGTGTTTGCGCGTTTCTTGGGGTTGTCTGTTCGGTTTTAGCATGCAGTGTTTGTGTGATGTTTGTTAATAGATCGAACAATATGAAGATCAAGTACGCCGACGGTGGTGCAAGTACTCGTCCACAAGGTCTCGTAGGGATGGCCACATAGAGACTTGTGGCGTTGGTTTATGATTATTCGTATTTAAACAACAATTCTAATAAATAAGAGTGTTGTAATAATTCATACTTGACGACAAAAAATAAGTGCATTAAGCGACATTGCCCATGGTGATATAGCAAAAGATATGATCCATGATACGACAGGCATAAGTACGGTAAATAAGCGAGACAGTCATACATAACCATAGTTCTAAAATGAAGTGCAACAAAAGATGGATCAGTATCACAAAAGACCAATGGACGCGGCAATCAACTTGGGGGGGCTTGGGTGTTCTCCTCGGTCTGGACGCCTTGCTCGACCACGGTGTCTTGGGCAGTTTGATCATCCGGGACGTCCAACTCGTCGGTCCTACCACCCTCTTCATCATTGTATCCCTCACCGATAATCTCCTGCACTATTTTGTCGCGCTCGAGCTGTTGCAAAGCGAGCTCAAGGGCGGGCTCCCACCAAGGATGCTCCAACGGTTTCTCTGGGTCCGCAGCCCAACCAGACGGGTTGGGGAGGTTCAAGATCAGGGCATCATCATCAAATGTATGTACGTTTCCACTTGCCCGGGCTTGCTCCAACGCTCGGGTGGCACCTAGACGTAGATATTCCATGGCCGCAGGGTACATTTCTCCATGGAATGACATGGAGTCCTAATAAAGGTTGAGCAGTTGTTTTCGGTAGAGCTCTAAGAAACAAGATCCGGTGGGCAAGGTGAGGAAGCTCTGGCGAGTCTCTCGTCGAGCAGCAGTTTTTTGGGCGGCTGCGGTGAGCTTCAATGATTCGAGATCCTCTTGATGACGAGTCGTTTCTGAGATTTGGTTCAACTCTAAAGTCTTTATTTTTTCGGCTTGACGCATTATCTTGTTTTTGGCAGCCTAAAGCTCGACTTCATGCACCTTCTTTAATTTCTGAAATTCGATAGCGGAAGGCGCACCGCCCTCAATAGCCTCGTGAAGGAGACCGGTGATCTCGGAAGTAGCCTGCTCACACAAGAAAAGGGAGTATCATTAACGAATATATATATATATCAATTACGATATGGGCGAGTGACACATGGTAAGGAGAGGACTAGATTCACCTCGGCTAGATGTTTTATGCAAAATTCGGCCCTCTGTTGGTTGTCTCCATTCCAGCGGTCAGCTTCTTGGCCCGGGAAGATGGATAGTAGATAAGACGATTGCACTAGCGGGTCTTCATGGGTGGCAAAAGCGTCGGGCTATTCGATTGTAGCATGAGCTCGCTCGGATGCCGCGGTCTTCTTAGAGGAGCCTCCGGTTTCACTGGCCACCTTACGCTTGCGTGAGCTCGGGATAATGTTCTTTAAGATGTCGCCAACTGAGCTGGGCACAAGCGTAGGGATCATACGGGAAGAGCTGGCATTGGCTTGGCCAACGCGAGACCTTTTTCTGGGCTCGGTCTTTTTGGTCGAAACGACTCCGGTCACGAATTTATCTGCAAAAAGCTATAACATCAGTGCACACATATACTCATAATATAATAAAGATCTGACGATGCACAAAATTAAACTGGCTATACCTAGATCAAAGGGGTCGACTTTTCTATTAGTCAATCTGTAAAAAGAGCGGAGCTCATCCGGGGTGGTGAGCTTCTCAATGTGATACGGGACTTATTCCACGCGGCCGCAAGCTCGCGAAATCGGGCTATTTTCCTAGGCCGAGGCTGGTCAGGGGCAACGGTTAACCATTCCGGGCTAAAGCTAAAGGTTTTTTCGGGCAGTTTCACGAAGAAAAATGAGGTCTTCCAATGACTTATTTTTATGTTTAGCTCCCTAAGGTAATCGGCTGATTTGCGAGCGCTAAGGTAGTATGATCCGCTTTGGTGGAGCTTGAGGCCATAACAACAATAAAAGAATTCGAGATCTACCTTCTTGAAGTGATAATAACTGAGTATCGTGTATGCTACGAGAAAGCGAATGTTGTTGGGAACGAGTTGATTTATAGGAAAATTATAAAGATCGGATAATGCGAGTAGCTCCGGACGGATAGGAAAGCGAAGGCCGCTAGCTATTTGATCGATAAAAAAGCTGTAATAGCCGTGTGGGGGGCGGTTATACGAGTCGCCCGGTGAGAGCGTCCAGAACGACCAATCGGAGGGGAGTTCACATAACCGCTTAAAGTCTTCTATTTCCATCTTGGTGGCGAAAAAGAAAGGGTTAGGTCGTTGGACAACTATGGCATTTGGAGCTAGTTCTACGGTGGGATTGACGGTTTCCTCGGTATCTACGGATATTTTTGACTTTCGGGCGCGTAGTTCGAAATTTGGTAGAGGGACGCCTTTTAGAGGGCTACGGGTTAAAGAGAGTGCGCTGTTATCGATTATAGGGGTTAGATCCTCCCATGGGATGTCCCCATCAACCTCGTCTTGAAGTTGTAGGGCCGACCTATTGGGTGCGGTTTGTATGAGTGTACTCGGGTGAGTTCCAAGCGATTGGAGAGAGGAGCTCGAGCTAGACTCGGGACGGTCGAATTCCGAATACGTGGTCGTAGCATCAGACATGTCGGTGCTTACTACGGAGAATCAAGGATACGATAAATTAGATATGGGCATGTAGTTGTCATGTGTATGAGGGCCGAATTGAAATACAATGCCACACTCATATAACATTTTTTCTGTACAATCTCTTGAAAAAAAAACACACAGCAAAAGAAAGACAAGCAGCACGAGTGGGCCGCGAGCGTCGCATTACTCAACCGGGATTTTTAATAAGCGGCCGCGCTACTCCAATCATGGCGTAAATACGTTGGGCACCGCCAGAATTATGTCGGTCCCGTGACAGCAAAAAAATAACCATAACAATGGAAGAGAAAGACGAGCCAAGGGCAACGATCCGCATCAGAGGGAAGAAGTACATCGGGGCTAGTAGTAAACGAGAGGGGTGACCGTATAACTTACCCATTTTGATAGCGGGGTGGTCGTGAGGAAGAGCACGGGGGCACGCCGGGAATGAGGTGGTCACCGGATGCCTTTCTGGGAAGTTCTTGTACACACAGTTGGGGAAATGCAATAACTTACATGAACAATGAGGAAAGAAGTGTTTATTTATGGACAATGAAGGTTTATTTATGGAAAGGGAGAGAGTAGTCATTATGGCTATGGGATGGGACAAGCCCTAGGTGTGGCAGCCAAGACTATGATTAGGTAAGGGATAGGACATGCACAACCTTCAAGAAATGACTTGGTTTGTTGCTTTGCTTATTGCTCGGTTCAGATGGGTTCTTTCCCTTATGGCTTGGTCAAAATGCTCATTTGCACTTATTGCTCGGTCAAAATGCTCATTTGCACTTATTGCTCGGTCATAATGCTCATTTGCACTTATTGCTTGGTCATAGTGCTCATTTACACTTACTACTCAGCTCAGACGTGATTTTTCACTTACTGCACGGCTAAAATGTGATTTTTCACCTGCTGCTCGGTCCACACGTGATGATGCTCGGTCCAATTGCAATTTTTTCACCTGCTGCTCGTTTTCATGTTTTTCAATGGGGTGGCCGTGTTAGGTGCTCGGGTTTATTTACGGCCCGACTAGTAGGGTCATAATATATGCTCGGCATTTTGTCTTGGTGGTTTCGTTGCGATAGTGCCCGGTAATTCCGAACCAACGTGTGAATTATCAAACAAGTCTATCTAGTTTATATGTGATAACTCATTTGATAATGGGGGGCTAGATGATATAGCACCTAGAAATAATAGGGTAAATGGGTGGCTCGGCCTTTTTGGGCTTGGTCTCTTTTGGCTCGGCCCAAAGGGCATAATAGCGGCATAATTATAGATCTTTTGGTGGCTCGGATGTAAATGGGCTAGCATGGCACTTTCGCATTGGTGAAGCTTAAAGGGTGGGCATGAGAGCTGCTTGACGGAAGGGTTATTAGGAGCAGCATATGAGGGACACGTGTAGCGTTAATATAAGAAGGGGCTGGATCATCTAACGGGCGAGGACCAAGGCGTGGCACAAACGCAATGTCGGTACTTATACATAGGTAAAGTTGGGGTGCACGAGAGGTAATCATCGAATCACGTTACAAACCCTAAAATCTACACTGTGCCCTTCTAGATAATATACTAACTTGAGCGTCGGAAGTTTACCGCCGGGAACACCTCCCGGCGTCTTTGCAGGTGTTCGGGTGCTCAAGCGGTTGAGGATCAAGGAGGGCCGATTCGAGGTGCAATAGCACATCAAATATGTAACACAATTTACCTATATTAATTTATTAAAAATATTATATAAAGTTTAAATTGTGCACAAAAACATAAAAATGTCTATTTAAAATTTGTAGAAAGCTCGTGCGTTGCACATAACTGATAATAAATTACACCATATTTGTTTCAAAATAAGTGGCATTTCCATAATTTTATTCAAAAATTCAATTTGACTAAAATGTAATTCCATTAAATAGTTATTTTGGTAAAGCCTAAACACTCTAAACACGATTAGGGTTTGAACTATCAACTAGGAAATAACAGAAAATGCATAAAACATAAATCAACTAAAACACATGAATCAAACAATGATGAAGAAGCTAGCGAATCGGGCATAATCATTTTGGTTCGAAACATAATTAACGGGCAAGCGATCGTTCGGTTAAAGGATTCAAATAACCTACACGTTCAGAGATTCATTCTCAATAAGTTTTTGTAACAAGAGAATAAGCATGAACGACAAATTAACGAGTCGTGTAACATATAGGCAATACTTTTACAAACAAGCATATCTTATGCGAGCCTAGATTGATCGACTCTCCCCTTTCGGTTCTAAGAGTCGATTAAAATATACTAGAACGTGGGTAATCGACTAGTCTATTAGGATTGAAATCATCACACGAGAATAAATCATATTCAATTGGAAACCAATTGTAAATTGAAGTGTCACTCTTCAATAATCAACATTCAAGCATGAAGATCAAGAACCCTAGTTCGGATCATGCAACTAATAAAGGTAATAGTCGCAATATTTGACCAAAATGATTATGTACATTAATTACAATAATTTAGGCGGGATTTTTCAAATTTTGGTCAAAAAATTACCCAATTTAATAAATTTGAATTATTAAGTGGAAAACCAAATATTTTATTAGTGATTTTTAGTTACTATTTCAAGTAAATATCATTGGTTTTTTATATATTAATAGATTTATTTATTACCTTTTTAGCATACATACCCATTATATATATAATACCACACATACTCATGCAATGTGTAAATAATTTAAAGAAATTACTACTTAATATTATTTTATCTATTTAGTTGTTTTATTTTGTAATTGTATGTAACAACTTAATATCCCATTGATATATATTTATTTATATTTATATTATTGTAAAGCTTATAAAATCTCGCAATTTTAATTTACAATTTTTTTTTTGGTACAATAAAAGAGGCCAAGGCCTAGGAAGAAAACTCTAAATCAACACACGGCGTGGCCGGGCCACCCCTACAAGATCATAGTTCAACCAATGTCCAAGCTCCGGCGGAGGATCCATGAGACGATGAAACCCAACTGACACTCCCGCAGCCAACGACGCTAACTTGTCGGCCGAGAAATTGCCTTCCTATAGATGTGATCCAAGCGAACACACCACTCCTTACTAAGGAACTCCCGAATAGCTTGAATAATGTTTTCATGAAGACCAAGGTTTACCTCAGTCCCCGAGACCATGGCCACGACACTACTGTTGTCCACTTCCACTAACACATTCCTCGCACCCAAATCCCAGGCCAGCTGAAGGCCATGGTAAAGACCCCATAGTTCCGACCCAGTGATCGAACAAAAGCCCACATTCATAAGGAACCCGCCAAGCCATCTACCATGAGTATCGCGGGCTATTCCTCCTGCACTACCCCTGTCGGAAGCTGTACACAACGCGCCATCCGTGTTAACTTTAACCCAGCCGACCGGGGGGGAGTCCAGCGAATCAACATGTCCTCATATCGTCGAACAACCGCACTCAGTGCCCTAGCACCCGCTGTGAAATGCAAGTGTCTGTCCACTCGACTCCGTACATCCATAATCTTCGCCTCAAGCGGTATTGTCTTATTCGAAAATACAACCATATTCCTCCAAGCCCAAAGATGCCAACAAGTTATAGCAAATGTAGTATCCCAATTGGACAACCCATCAAGCGGAGTTTCCATCAAATTTACCCACAGCCACAGGCAAACGTCCTGGGAGAAGAAAACTGGCCAATAATCTCTTGAAACGAGCTCCACCCAAATACGCCGTGCCATCTCACAATCGCGTAGGACATGTGTCGTGGACTCAGGCACCCCACAATTTATGCACGCTGCGTTCTCCGCCATATGCCGTCGAACCCGCTCCACATTAGTTAGCAAACGATCCCGGTAGGCCAACCATAAATAATGACGTACACGTTGTGCTACAGGCGCTTTCCATATGGCGTTCCACACCGGCCGGACATTATGCATCACCCCTCGCGACAGCTTTTCGTAAGCCGACCGTTTCGAGACAGTTCCGTTCGAAGTGTATCCTTATATCATTCTATCACTACGCGCCGAGAGGGAGGCATCACCGCCGCGACGAGCAGCAGTGCGTTGGCCGGTAAGAAAGCTTCAAATCTCTCCCAACACCATTCTCCCGTCGTCGTGACAAACTCAGGCACTGGTGCGCGAACCAACTCAGCAGGCGGCCTCACTCTCGCCATTGCTAGCAGCGGCTCGTGCAAATTCATCCAAATGTCCATCCAAAATCGGGCCTTCCGACCATCTTTTAAAGCCCAACGCACACCTGTGCGGACATGCGGCCAGACCTTTGCCACGGCATTTAAACACACAGACCCGTTAGAAAACTTGAAATCACCAGCCATCTCCTGCGGTCGTAAATTATACTTGGCGCAAAGGACCCGAACCCACAACAAGGACGGCTTTGTGAGCATAGTCCAGCCAAGCTTCATTAAAAGAGCTTCATTCATTAATTTTGACTGCTTAAGGCCAAGCCCGCCACTCTCACGCGGTTGACAAATATCCAGCCAGGACACCATATGTGGTTTACGGTGCTCCGACGAGCCGCCCCAAATAAATGACCGACCATATTGGTCTAGCCTATTACAAATTGCCGAAGGCAAGGCCACCGTCTGCATGGCGTAGTAAGGGATCGTGCAAAGTACTAATTGCGTTAGAGTTAATCTACCCGCCGCCGACAATGATGTCGCTTTCCACCCGGCCAATCGATTCTCCGTCTTCTCTAGAATCCCTGCATAAGTAGTCTTCTTAACCCGTCCATGTATCAACGACATTCCCAGGTACTTGCCCAGGTCCTCTACCCGTGCATATCCCAGGAGCGTCGCGATATCACTACATCGCTCATCATCCACCGATGAAGAGAAAAAGATCTGCGTCTTCGCGGAGCTAACCCTCAGGCCCGAAATCATACAGAAGTTCTCAAGGACCCCTCGCAGAACCGCGGCTTGCTCCCTCGATGCTTCCATAAACAGTAACAAATCGTCAGCAAACATCAGAAATGGGATATGCACCGACCGGCGCCCTACCGAAATCGGCCTCCACTCCCCACTTGCAACCGAAGCCTCAATTTGCTGAGCTAGGCGTTCCATACAAAGAACAAAAAGAAACGGCGAAATTGGATCCCCTTGCCGGATCCCTCGCGTCGGGGAGAACTCTTCACTCACATCGCCATTCCATGAAAGGTTCATCGAACTAGAACTCACACATTCAACATTTAATTTTTACAATTTTAGTTAACTTGCACATTCAACATTTAATTTTTACCATATCTATAGTAATATAAAAAAGTTGTTGGGAAAATGCTTTTATAGTAAGCTTGACTAAAAAATAAATGGTTTGACTTACTATTAGTGGAAATTTAAAAAAAATGAATGTGAGTCTTTAGGAATCAATTTGATTGAGATATCCCAAATAAATGTAGATTTTCATGGTAACAAATTTGGAGATTATTATGTTAAAATTTAATTCATTTCTTAAATATGAATTTCATAGGAATTCCTTTTTTATTAGTAACAAATTTGAAGATTCTTATGTCAAAAAATTGAGATTTTGAATTTCGAGAATAATGGAAACTATACTAAATATCGATAAACTACAATCTTCAATAAATAATTTATATTGATGAATGTTGTGTGTAAATACTAAATATATGATTTGCTTTTCATAAATAATAATAAATTACATTATTTTTCATAGACCATTCTGTACAAATATTTTACTCAATATTCGGTTTTATTAATTTTACTCTTTCTTTGTTCTCCTTTTCATTATATTTGAATGATTACATGACTTTTATTCTTATGTTAAGCTGTGTTAAAGCACAAAAAATTCGTATTTTACGCACAAATCACCATTTTGCATTCTAAGAAGAACAACATACCAGACACCAAATGATTTCACTTTTCAGCTAAAAAAAATTCCTAATATGTCATGTTTTACTACAAAGTATAGTACAACACAAAGTTAAAATTATGTTGCCGGAAAAAAAGAATCGAACAAATTATCAATCGGTCTTAATAGCCATGCCTATGGTTTCCCTAGTTTTGGGTCCAACAGTTTTTTGAAATGAAAAGTTGAGTCGATCAAGAAAGAGCTTGTTTTGAATTTGCTGGAATTCCTAGCATTTACGTTCCATTTCTAACTCAAATTCTTCAAACTCACAAATCCTGTTTTCAATTTCCTTCATCTGTATTTGATTAACTCACAGGGGAAATAGAAGAAACCAGAATAAAAATCTCTTCGAAATATTAATAACTAGCAACATCAAAAAATAAATACGAAACAATTCGGCACCTGAGTTGCAATTTCATATATTGCTTTCTCCAGCTCTTCCCCTTCCTTCTCAAGCTGCCATCTTGCTTCCACAAGAGCAGCATTTTCAATCATATTCGACTTACTGTTACTATTAGACATATCTTTTGGTTCCGCATTGACGAAAATGTGAAATCTGAGCGAGTATCGCATTTTTTTTATATTTATTGATCATATCGACTTATTTCTCATTGGATGAAAGAACTATTTATTTTCATATATCGCTTCATAATGCAAGTGAATGAAGAGATATACTATCATAACTTGTCACTAAAAGCAAGTAATAAGAGTATGAAATCACGACGCGCATTAAATTGAAGAAAAATGACTGTGATAGTGAATCAAAAACCATCCATCCAGGACAATTACATTTTTGTTAACTTATTATAGTTTTCTCCCTATCAAGATGAGTAGATGACCATAAGATAAAGCCTAGAAGAACTTGAAAGTCCAAGGTTTTAACTTCTATATGTATGGTTCTGAACCAAACTTGATTTCTCAGCTATCAATCAGGAATAAACATTTGTTTAGATCGTATCGGTCAGGAAAGTCAAAGGATTTTTAGCGTTATCGCCATTTATTCCTAAGCAATTGTAAAAAGAAAAGCAGCCTGAGGATACATTACTGTTGCATGTGCGGCCACTTCGGTAGCATCTACTCCAACCAACGTAAAAAGAAAAGCAGCCTGGAGATACATTAACAAACTACACTCTTCCCATTACACATCCAAAACCATGTCAACCAAAACAACCCAATGCCTTTCAATTTGGATTTAGTAGAAAAAAAAATAAAAAAAAATAAAAAAAATTCATCAACATTCACCAAATCGTGAATAGCATAAATGTAACTACCCAAACGTTTTTAGTATTTATGAGCTCGACTTTAGTACCATTAATTATAGCAAGTTTTTATATATTTTTAGTCTTATTCATTTATTTGATGCATTTAATTAAATTGAGTAATTAATTCTAAGTCTAAGCTATAGAGGATCCGTTCGATTTTTAATTTTTAAAAATTGAATTATTATAGCCTAAGTATCAGTTTCATTTTTAATTTGAAACCGAGCATTAGAAAATCGAGAATTTTATTTAAGTAGGGCCGAAGCCCAGTCGAGCGAGCCCCGGTCCAAGCCCATTTTCCCACACGGCCCAAGGCCATCTCGCACGGCCCAATGTCGTGGCCCAAGCCAACGTTAATTAAATAGTCCAACATTTTCCAAGCCAAGACATTTAATTCATGAGGCCCAAGGCCCTTAAAATCCTAGCTCAACACTCTCATTAATTATTTAGCCTAATTTTTTTTTTTAATACATTGCCTAAACACAAAAATCTTAGGTTTTTTACTAGTCTTCAAAAGTTAAAAATTCAAATGAGCATTTAATGCTTAGCTAACGTTTCATTACTATGGGGAACAAGCTCACTTAGGTGCACAAACTGTGGTTAACCGACCGGAATCGACCGAAACCGATTTTTTGATTTCGAACAAAACCAAAACCGATTAATTGGTTCGGTTTTTGGTTTCTATTATCTCAAACTTTCGGTTTTCGGTTCGATTCTGTTAAAATTTTTTGGTTAACCGAACCAAAAACTGATATTATACATATATATTAGAACATCCAATATAATGATATATCATTTAATCCATTGGTATTTACCCACAGGCCCAAAGCTACAACATGCAACCCACCACCAGTTTAATGATTTTATCATTCATCTTCCTTAGCCCAAATCCAATCTGTCACTCAATCTTACGAGTTCCATAGAGCAGACATAGACAGTACACATCTCACACGCAGTTAGCACTCCTAAAAGAAAACCTAGCATCTTCTTCTCTACCCACCACTTCAAACTCCTTTTTTTGGGTTAATTTCCATGCCTATGATTTGAGCTGCATGGTTGTGGCTTGACTGTTGTTATTTGTAAATTTTATTCTCCATTTTATTGGATAACTGAAAACCGAATTGAAAAAACCGATATATTTTCGATTAAAAACCGAACCGAACCGTAGTTTTCGGTTTGATTTTCAGTTTTAATACTGGACGAACCGAATTTTCGCTCGGTGCGGTTCGGTTTTGACTGATTGTGCAGCCCTAAGCTCACCTATATGTCCCCCAAACCCTAATTTATGTGGACATATATCTTCACCATCTAGCCTCATTTCCCCTTCTTCATTTCCTAAGCTAGAGCAAATATTGTTCTAAGTCCACAAAAATAATCGTTAGCCTTAGCATAAATCCACCCCTCAAAGCTAAGCACCACCCGCGCTGGAGAGCTCGAGCACGCAACTAGCTCCCAGAACACCTTTGTTAGTCGCAGATGCAGCCCCATACAAGCTCCCAGATCCTGTGTCGAGACGCACGGATCCGCACCGAGCCAAGGCCACCGCAAGCCTCCAAAAGACACCTTCATCTTCTATTTTCCATTTTCAAGCCTCGAAGAAGGTAGGATATCCAAAACCCCCTTCTATAGCTTAGATATGAATTTTAAAGTATTTTAAAAATATAGAACCGAGAAAAATGGAACTAGAATAAAAGATCTAAATTTATTGAACACTCTTTCCGAGGTATAGTAGTCGAGGTTACCTCGGAAATCATCACTTTCTCATTATCCCTGAATCTCCTCGTTTTCGAAGCTAGATACTTGAAAAATTGAACATATGCTAGTATGTTTTTTATAACATCTAGTAATGGGAGATTCACGTTTACCTTCGAGAGCATGTCGAAAAGATCATTGAATTGACGCTCCTTCTTTGTATCTTGCAAACGGCTCGGGAAGGGGACCGGTGGTCGGTAGGGTGTATCCGCTTTATGCAAAGCCTCATGAGCATCTTTCTTGGGGGTTCTCCTCCTGGATTTTCTCATCCACAACGGTCTTCCCCTTTGAAACTTCAACTTTCTCAC